TGCAATGTATTGCATTTTTATTTTTCGGTTTAGATATGCTTTAACCTATTTTTTAGTTTATATATTTTTAAAATAAAAGGATTTTTTTTATATATATATATATATCTTTGCTTTACAAATAACAATATAACATTACAGCCATGGCACGGTGAGAAGTATGGGTTTTCTAACGATAGCCCACACCAGAAGTTGTCTCCTTTCAGACTCCCTGTCTCTAATTGAACCCTCAGGCGTAGCTGTCATATAAGCGATGCGTCCCTGTCTCTGCACTGAAATCCTAATCAGTGTTATCTGCACTGGAGATCCACAGCAAACAATGCTCCAATTCCAGAACCAGCTTGCACTGTGATTGCATCCTAGGTGCAGGCAAACAAGCGTGCCGCCTATAGCAACCAAATCCAGAAATAGGTGCACGCAAAGGGTCTTCACCGAAGATTTTTGGATAAATACAGTTAGCTCCTCCCCATAGTCAGATTTAAAGGGGCCAATGCAGTTTGGATGAGTTGCAGATTTTTTTGTACAGTACACTATGTGATCAGATAAATAATCCTCCTATTTTCTTTGTATCTCTCAGAGCCATGTTCGACTACGACAGAAGCAAAGACAGCGGACTCCCCAGCCAAGGCCTGAGCTTTAGGTTCGGAGATATTCTGCACGTCATCAATGCCTCCGATGACGAATGGTGGCAGGCCAAGAGAGTCATGCAAGACGGGGACAGCGAAGAGATGGGCGTCATACCCAGTAAACGAAGGTACCCCATTTATCCAACTGTTATATTATCTGCGGTCTGTACACAATAGTACTCAGGGCGGACAAGGGTGATCCAGCAGTGTCAGCCAATCATAGGGGTTCATTTACATAAAGTTCCACCATTCATATAGCTGGTTGGATGCCATTCGCACACCACTAGAGCCCCTAGATGGCGCTGATGAGTATAGGAAATTCATATACCCAGCAGCACCACCTAGGGGTAGTAGTGTTGTGCGAATGGCATGGATGGGGCTTTTACAGATGAACCCCATACTGCACAGTTTTGTCAGACTTACACTATGTATATGCTTATACAGGGAGAGAGCAGAGAGATTAAGCTGAACTCGGCACAGATATAAAAGACACATTATAATGCAGCGTTACAAATGATATATCAGTACTTTTCTGCTCTTTTATTGCCCATTCAAAGGGCTGTCGGAAGGAAGGCAATACATCTGTACTAGGTATGCACCGATACCGTTTTTTCAGTATTGAGTACGAGTACTGATATTCTTTCTTCCGTACTCACCGATACCGAGTACCGGTGCCTTGTGCCCTGATTATCAGGAAGTCGGGAGGCAGAGCGTGACCCGTCACCCAGCTTTCTGATTGCCAGTGAAGCCGGTGTTCTAGCGCAAGAACACCGCCTTCAGAGGCTGCCTGGCTTCCTGACCAATCAGGAAGCAGGGAGGCGTGCCTTGACGTGCCGCCCGGCTTTTTGATTGGCTAGGAAGCCGGCTTCACATGTTTCTAGGCAGCGTGGCTTCCTGACCAATCAGGAAACCAGGACGCAAGTCATTCATGAGGTGCTATCCGCCATCCTGATTGATTAGGAAGCCAGGCTGCTTAGCAACACGTAAAGCTGGCTTCCTAGCCAATCAGGAAGCCGGGAGGTGGGTCATAACCCACCGCTCGGCTTCCTGATTGGAAAGAAAGCCGACTCCATGCTCCTTCGGCACTGCCGGTCAGACTAAGATCTCCCTCTGACCGTAAGTTCCGGTATCGGAGCATTTGGGCGAGTACGAGTACATGCCCATATACTCTGTATCGGTACCGATACTGATAGTAGTATCTGTGTCGGTGCATCCCTAATCTGAACTCTAGTCAGATATGAAAGACACATTTTATTGCAGCATTACAAATGATATATTATTATATTACATACATTATAAACATATTATAATTGAGTTCAGCTTTAACCTAAGTAACAAAAAATGCAGGTAAATCAGTATAATCCCAGCTGTGTTTCACTTTTTTTCTGGCCAGAGCTCTGCTTTAATGTCTAAAATTTCTGTGTTTTGAAGAAAGAAAGAAGATGTGTGGAACGGCTTTATAATTAATTGCGCAGCATGACGCGGCATTCTGTACAGCAGTTTAGGTGCCTGGGGATCCCGCGGAGAGGAGGATTGTAATAGAATGTTGCTGTCATATTTCAATGGTGTCTTGCCGTGTCGGGTGCCTGGCCTGACAATTCTTGGCTGTGATTGATGACCGCAGCAGGGCCGGGCCAGTGCGTTGCTCAGTGTGTGAAGAGAGCGATCAGCGCAGCTCCAGGTCCTGAGCTTGTGGGGATTGACAAGGTCCTCGTCATAGTATAAATCACCCCTATCGCTAAAATCTGATCTAACCTTCAACATGTTTGTATAATTCCAAAACATTTTTTAAATTTTTGAACATAGTACCTGCCATGAGGGTCCGTGTCCATGCACTTCCTGTTGTACGGTGACAACACTCTGTCCCTGGCTTCCGATTTCTCTCTTGCGTTGTCACCCTGCCACATGCTGTCCCAGTCTACAAGAGTGCAAGCCAATGAACATTGCATGGGCATGGTCTGTTGCTTTCACCATCAGGGGACCCAGCCGTGGCAGCACTCCATCCAGCCTGTCTTCCCCTTTGCTGCAGTGTTGGGATGTCCCTTGGCGTACTTGTGTCCTATACACTGTGTATAAAACGTGATGATTTATGGGACCTTAGACCGCTGCAGTAGGCGGGGGAGGCTTCATGGACTGGTCTAAAAGCAAGCCAGCTCAGAGCATCGGGTGAGTTTAACTTTGTAATTTTTGAGCCAAGGCCAAACTGAGCACTTAACCCTTGTAGTCTGGGGGTAGTCCCACTGCAAGCGTTAATAATAATTTTCCCCGGAGTTCTTTAACTCTCGCTCCCCTGGCAGCCGGTGCCTACCCCTCAGTCCAGGTTGAGGACTGGCCCTCAGGTATCCAGGTTGTGGACCGGCCCTCGTGTGTCCAGGTTGTGGACTGGCCCTCAGGTGCCCAAGTTGTGGACCGGCCGTCGGGTGTCCAGGTTGTTGACCGGCCCTCGGGTGTCCAGGTTGTGGACTGGACCTCAGGTTTCCAGGTTGTGGACTGACCCTCAGGTGTCCAGGTTGTGGACTGGCCCTCTGGTTTCCAGGTTGTGGACTGGCCCTCTGGTTTCCAGGTTGTGGACTTGCCCTCAGGTTTCCAGGTTGTGGACTGGCCCTCAGGTGTCCAGGTTGTGGACTGGCCCTCTGGTTTCCAGGTTGTGGATTGGCCCTCTGGTTTCCAGGTTGTGGACTGGCCCTCAGGTTTCCAGGTTGTGGACTGGACCTCAGGTTTCCAGGTTGTGGACTGGCCTTCAGGTTTCCAGGTTGTGGGCTGGCCCTCAGGTGTCCAGGTTGTGGACTGGCCCTCAGGTGTCCAGGTTGTGGACTGGCCATCAGGTGTCCAGGTTGTGGACTGGCCCTCAGGTGTCCAGGTTGTGGACTGGCCCTCAGGTGGCCATTTAAACGACG